GTGAGTTTAATTTATCTCCAGCTCTGCTTATCTTTTATTATTCTACTTTTATATCAGATTACACGTTGCTATTAGGTTATGGGATAATGTGTGTGTGTGTGTGTGTGTGTGTGTGTGTGTGTGTGTAGCTCTGCCTGTGCTGCTGGATGTGGTCGGGGGTCCCGAGAGTCTTCCTGCAGACGAGCAGACACAGGAAATGCTGAGAGGGAAACTGCGCATTCTGCAAGCTGACAGCACCGAGGTCAACGCTCTGTTCATGGTACACACACACACACACACACACACACACACACACACCTGGCATTTTACGCTGAACAAGAGTCCAGTTTCTCAACAAGTTATGAATGACTCGGTTTGTAAAGGCTGTCCGTCTGCTTGGTTTGCAGGACTGCTTCAAGTTTTGTGTTAAAATGGTAGCTTAAACATAAACAATATATATTCGAAACCCAAAGAATAAGTTATAAAACAGAAACGAAAGGAAATCTAAATCTTCAAAATAGTTTGTGATTACATTGATGCGACTGATCCTTGCAGATCAATATCCTTTCACTAGTTAATTTCATATTGGTTGTGGTTGACTCTAAATATCTGAATATCCAAAGAAACTTCTTAAGCCACTCCTTAATAATACATTTTTTTTTCTTTATTATAGCTAAATTATACTACATTTTGTTTTCTCTCTCTCTGTCTACAGGAGCTGTCTACTCATCTGATCTCCATCAACAGTGAAGAAAATATTATTTTTGTCACATTCAAAACATTTGAAGAAATATGGAAGTTCACCACATATTACACAATTGGTAGGTATTTAAAATAAGGCTAAAGTGCAAAAGAGAGAAATGTTATTGTCATTTTTTGTTGTAATTGTAGTTTTCATATTTCTGACCTACTGTATGGAGTACTGGGTAGTAATGATCATGCTAATACAGCTATTTCTGCTGCTAGCAAACATAATGCCAGTAGTTATAGTTCAGAAAGTGTGTTCAAGAATAGGTCTGTTCATAGTATCACTTCTTCCTCCTGTGCTGCAGGTTTCCTGGGTCGCTGTATGGAGGATCTGTTGTTAGACCAGAGGTTTTGTCTCAGTTCTCTGGAGGAGGACATCAGGATCCAGGTCTCCATTCAGGAGGAGACCCTCAGCCTGATATACAAAGGCATACTCATGCAGGAAGGTGGGGGACAGCACTAACAGTAGCTAATAGTGGCCTCTAAAAGTTGGGGAAAGTGGAAACATTACATACCCAAGAGCTGTAATTAAACCAGTGATTTTGGACCACTGTGTTCAACACCAGTGTGTTGTGAGAGATTGTCAAGTGTGCCGTGGGAAATTAACAAATTGGATTGTCAAGTGTGCCGTGGGAAATTAACAAATTGCACTTAATCGGTCCCCAAAAATATTATTAAGTTGCTGCAGATAGTTTGTTAAGCGTCTGTGCCTTCAATGTACTGGCTGGCTAATGAAATACTCTTCCATGCCAGTGGGTGGCAGTAGGTAGGGCGATAATGATGTTAATTTAAGACACTAGAATTAAGTGATGTCAATGGAGACAAACAGCAATGGATTAATATTTGAAGATGAAAAAGGCAGAACTGGGTCCTGGACAAAAATCGGAGTGATAGTCAACAGCAATACAAAATGAAAACGTGTCATTAAGTCACTTGAAAAAAAAAGTAAAGTTGAAAAACACTGATTTGAACCAATAATGATCTTTTAACAAATCACATGCAACGGACAATTTTAAATAAAGAAATATATGACATGCTGACAGTTCACATGGCTATCTTTAGGGTCTTTCTTTGCTAGCTGTAGCACCAACCAGATGTTCGACAGCTCCACCTCTGGAGGGGACCTGTACCTGGAACAGGGGGAAATAGCCCAGTTCGAGCCCCCCTTCCTGGGCTCAGGGTGGACCATGCTCTGCCTGGCTGATGGAGGCCGAGGCACTGCACCCAGACCTGCTGTGAAGCCCGTCATGCCTTTTTATCAGTGAGTCACATTATGGGCTCAATACAATCTCATACAAGTACTGTATGTCTCACTGATCTGTGAACAAACAGTCAAATATAAAGTTCTCACATGATACGATCTGTCCACAGGTGGTTTCTTAAATCCTGTGCAGAAGGCATTTTAGTTGGTGATGGGAAACCCTCCTGTGACTTCCCTCTGCAGTTTGGTAAGTGCAGTTTATTTTCCCTCTAAAAATAAGATAAAGAATCTGTTTGAATTATGAACACACCTTTATATTGAGGGCTCAATTTGATTATATACGGTAGCTGACTTGGGCAAAGGAGCTACAACAGCCCAAACACTACAGCTTCAGAAACAATGCAAGTATAAAACATTTTTCTTTATTGCAGGTTTATTTTGGAATGCAGCATTTTGTATTTGCAGTGTTTCATTAATAGGCGCTTTCACACCGCAGCACTTTTCCCACAAAGGTTCATCAGAACTTAGTTCATGAGAAATCTTTAGTTCTCATGAACTAAATAACCGGAATAAGTTCCTGGGGAAGGATTAGGCAAATGAAGCCGCTGACGTCACTTCTTCTTCTTCTGCTTTGGGTTTACTGGCAGGCCGCAAACAACTTCACGGCGTATACTGCCACCCGAAGTCCCCGGCCGGAAGTCCCCAGAGTTGGGGACTGGCTTCTACTGAAGCCTTCCGAGTAAATCGCCAGAACGCCGACACCTCCTCATGTCCACCGCTCCCATGTTTTCTTTTGTGTTGCCATAAGTTAGTCTCTCCGCGTTTGTGCGCTGGGTTAATGCTAATGTTAATAATGCTAATGCGAGGATAATAAAATGGCGGCTTCACAAAACTTTTTGGGAGTTTTACGGGGCGTGGTTTTCAATCCGCCCAGCCAATCAGAAATAGGAAACTTTTTCTCCCACGAAAGTCCCTGCTCTCTAGCAGGGACGGAAAAGGGGGTAAAAAGGTTCTCATTAACTAATTTTGGTTCCGGATTTTTCCGGATTTTTTTGGTGTGAACGCGATGTTTTGGAACTAAAGTGGGAAAAGTACTGCGGTGTGAAAGCGCCTAATGCCACATTTTAAGTAAACCATGTGCATATTTTGTCAAGTTGGTGAAGATGTTTCTTAATTTAGAGGTCTTTTGGCACATTTGGATTTTCATATTTGCATTGTTTCTGAAGCTGCAGCGAGTTTCTCCAAAAGGGAGAGTTTTGGGCCGCTTTTGCACGTCAGCCATACTTACATATTGCCTGAATCTTTTAAACGCGTTTCAATTTCTAACACTGGTATAATTTCAAGATGCCTCTTCTTTACTTTAAACTTTAATCTCTTTAGTATTTCTTTGAAAATGTTTGCCTTTTCCCCCTCTCTCCACAACTGAGATTTAAACTGCTTTTCACATTGGGTCTTCAACAATTCAACTGAGAGGAAATCCTCCCTCTGTAACGACTGTCCAACTGACATCTCAACCACTTTACCTGCACACACATCAACTGATACTTCAAGTCCTTTAAGGCCACAGATTTAAAAAAATTTGAGTCCAAAAAAAACTATTCAGCACTGAAAAAACAAATTTAACCTAACTGTATTAGGTTAGTTGAAAGCAATAATATTAGCCGCTTTCACACCAAGTACTGTGCCGTACTTAGTGCCGGCACTTAGTGCCCCGGCACTTAGTACCCCAGGGCACTAAGTACCAATCGCGTTCACACCGGAGTACTTTTCCCAGAGAGAAGATTACGCAAATGAGCCGCTGACGTCACTTTGTCTTCTTCTGCTTTGGGTTTACTGGCAGGCCGCAAACAACTTCACTGCGTATACTGCCACCGAAAGTCCCCGGCCGGAAGTTACTTCCGAGTAAATCGCCAGAACACCGATACCTCCTCATCTCCACCGCTCCCATGATTTTTTTGTGTTGCCATAAGTTAGTCTAGAGTGGTTCAAACATAAAGACTGCCATAGTAAAACCCTAATAGGAAGACGTCATTGCGTCAACACAAGGAGATACTTGCAACAGGAGAACGTGTGACCTTATCACAACGGAAAGGAGAGGTAGGTTGTGTGTTATTTATAGGAAGACTGGACCTTTCCACTTTGGTGCATTCTTGTTCTATTATATGAGATAACGTTTAGTAAATTGTTGTCGATTGAGACACTAGTAACCATTTTAAAGGGGTCATTGAGTGACCCCATTACAGTCACCTCCCAAGGTGGTCCGAACAGAAGTGGTCTGGGTGAAGAGGCACCGGAGGAAGGAGGGACACTTGGTGAGTTTTGTTCTGTGGTTCTTCAGTTGCTACTACTTACGCTAGTGGTCCCGGTACGAGCGAGTTAGACCCGGGGGGTCGTAGCAATGAGGTAACACCGTTCCTGTCCAGGAGACCGAACTTGTTTTCTCTAACCTAATTTAACGGTGACATGAAAATAAATGTTATTTCATGTCACCTCATAAGTCTGCTCGAGTGACTTTTTGACTTTTGGCATATCCAATACAACTTTCGTTATTAAATTCAAATTTATTTTTTATATCCGAGTGAATAATCCGCGCAAGTGCGGCCTCATGAAAAGGGGGGCATGAAAAGGGCAAACCAAGGCACTCATGGGGAATACAGCGCAAGTGTGGTTTTTTCATGAATCACGGCCCTTGCAAAATGGAGGTAAAAATCACGGGACGATGGTTTTTTTCATGGTTAAAGATAACCGACCCCGTTTAACGTTGGTGCGGTGGACTTTGCAAAAAACTTCGGGGTAAACATAAAGACCGTAATCGTTAATAATCGTAATTCGTAATAAGGGGGCGCGTG